TTTGACTTGATAATGAAAGTAGTTCTGATTTTAGATAACGCAGTTGAACGTTTGTTAATGTTTGTAATGTTTCTAAATTAAATAAAATAAATTAAAAAATAATATATAATTATAAATAAATAAAAAAATATAGGGGACTGATATTTCCACGCCCTTATGTGGATCACTTTTTTTATTTAATGAATTTAATCAGGTAGTTGTCGAGATGCCTTCAACAAAAGTTAGATAAAATTTTGCCGTGGCTAATATTTTGAACTAACTGATCATATTCGATGAAATTTTTTTCGTTTGAATTCTACACATACATAGAATTCGAATAAAAAAGTTCATCGAATTTGATCAGGTAGTTGTCGAGATACCTTCGATTAAAGTTTTAAAAAAATTTCAACGTCTATCACTACAGAAAAATTTTATGACTTTGATCGAAGGTATCTCGACAATAACCTGATCAAATTCGATGAATTTTTTTTTTTTATTCGAATTCTATGAAATTGTAGAATTCAAATAAAAAAAGATTTATCAAATTTTATCGGGCAGTTGTCGAGATACTTTGATTAAAGGCTTAAAAAAATTTTGACATCTATCAAAATTATATTAGATAAGTACCTTCTGATATTGAGCATAATGATCTAGCCAGATTTAAATCAAGTTGTTTAGTTGCATCGATTTGCGTAGTCGACATTTTTTGTTTTGGAAGATTACCATAAGAAGAACTTGAAAGGTTATTATGTATTGAATCAGGTGTCGATGAACGACTAACAGGAGCCGATAAAGTCACCGTTTTGTTTGGAGTTGATGTAGGACGCACGGGTTTTGAAGGTAAGTTTACTGGGGATTTCGTCTTTTAAGATAATTTAATTAATTAGAGAATTTTAAATTTTAAATTCACTAAATATAATAATAAACAAAATAACAAATACATCCTCCAAAGCTTCAATTGCAATTCCTAGGGTTGAATAAAATTCTTTTCTTATTATCGACCTTTTCCATTGAAAAAGTTGTTCATTTGATTCATCAGATATTTGTTTCCATATTTCTAAGCTATTATAAAAATATTCAAGTTATATAAAAGTAAAAATTTATTATGATAACAGAAAGAAAACTAAGAAAACTAACCTCTTTGGAGTAATAAACACAGATTCTAAACCTTTATTATTGGGCTCATTCTCAGAATTTTTATTAAGTAAGGTAGTATTCAT